GGAGACATAGTAGCACTCAAGTCTGGGACTGGAATTGGAGAATTCAAGTAATAAAGACCACCCCAAACCAATCACCTTTGTTTGGAGGTCCAGAAAAATACAAAAAGATAGAGAAAATGTCACGGAACACTATAAAAAGTCAGTTAACAAATTAAAAGGGCAGTGTGGAACAAATAAACCAAATGTAAGCGGCATGGACGGGGTAGGATGGAGATCACCAGTCCAACGTACTGGTCGAAAAGAACTATTAGTTAACACAATACGTGAGCTAGAAGCATGAAGATTAGAAAATAGGGAGGAAATACCAAATATGTGTGCATTAGCCCCAAAATCAATAATCCTAGAAAATGAAGTAGATGGGAGGTCACATATGTTGAATTACTTGCATTAGCCAATGCATTTGTTTCATAATGTTTTGAAATGTTTTGTTATATTTTAATGCATTTGCATAATTATTTTTAGAATTTTTGAAGGTATTTTTAAGATATTTTGATATATTTTGACCAATATTCTGAAAAAATAAATTTTAATTTTTTAATTGTTTTCATTCTATTTTTAAAACGAGTTTAAACCAAAGATCAATATTTTATTTTGAAATGGTTGAAACGTCCAAAACATTTTTGTTTTCAAGATGACCGAAACAAATTAGTGATGGAATCAAAATTCTAATACTTTGAAGTGTTTCATAATGTTTTGAGATATTTTGTAATATTTTAATGCATTTGCACAATTGTTTTGGAATGTTTTAGTGTATTTCAAAATACTTTGGTATTTTTTGACTAATGTTTTGGAAACATAATTCTTTAAATTTTTTATTTTTTGATTCTGTTTTCGAAATGAGTCGAAACCTAAGCACGGATACGGACATGGGTGTTGTATTCGATATGATACGGACACAGGGATATGACAAAGTTAAAAATATGGGACACAAGTACGACAAGGATACGATTATTAAAATAATATAATATATTTTTTAAATAATAATAGAGTTATAATATATTAAAAATAAAGAATATATTATAACAATATTAATAATAAGACCTAGTAAAATATTATTTTTTGATTAAAATTGAAATAGATCAAATTAAATATCCATTATTTTCATTGAACATTTTTTCATCTATTAATATTCATAGTATATAAGTTACGTAACAAAAAATATATTAAAAAAAGTAAATTTTTACTAGGCAAAAGTTTGTTTAATAAAAAAATTATTGGCCGTGTCATGGCCATAACCTAGACGTATTCTGGTCGTGTCCTAGACGTATTTTTGTAGTGTCCTAGAAGTATCTTAGTCGTGTCCTAGTCCTGTTCGACTAAATTCACTATTCAGGACACTTCTAACCGTGTCGGACATGTGTCCGGCCGTGTCCTAGCCGTATCCGTGTGGGACTCATGTCTGATACTGCCATGGCACTCCGTGGAAAGTATCCGTGCTTCCTAGGTCGAAACGTTTCCAAAACATGTCGAAACGTTTTCAAAACGTTTCCGTTTCTTAGGTAATCGAAACAATATATTAAAATGCAATTTTGATCCTTGCTCAAAACGTTTTTGAAGCACGTCGAAACATTTTCATTTTCTAGGTGATCGAAATAATACACCGAAATAAAATTTTAATCCTTGCTTAGAAGTATTTGTTGCTAAAATTATAGAGTAATCAACTCACTTATACTCTTTGTACATGTGATACCTGGATAATGGATAATCAATTCATTGCTTAGAAATATTTGTTGTTAATGGATAATACTTGAAAAATACCTATGTGTACCGTCTTTGAAGTCATATGAATTTTTTGTTGATGTATTGCAATGTATGTGAAATTAAAAGAAAACGGTAAAGATTAAAATTAAAAATTATACATAATTTTCTGCTTGTAGAAGTATCTGCAAAGTATCCATATATTTTATTTATTGTTGGATACGTTTGGTGTATATCCGATATATATTCTTGAGTATCCGACGAGTATCGTATCCAATATGATATCTGATACGAATACGTCGACCTTAACAAAGTATCCGTATTTCATAGGCCGAAAGTATCCATACATAACTTCTAAATACACAAATTTTTAGAAAACACATGACAAAACGAGATGAGGTATTCAAAGACAGGTCTAGGAAGGTATAATTCATCTCTTGGCCTATTCCCACAAATCCAAGCTTTAACCCATATATAGTCTTTGATTGATTTTCGGTTAAACTTTGAGTATGTAAGTCTCTAAATAACCACTTCATCCTTGAAGTTAAACACCCAATGCCCTTTATGTACCCAAATTTGATGTTAATAGCCCAAGGATTTCTCCATGAATTGGGTTTATGTACCTCCAAAGTGTCTCTCCCTCTCTCTCATGGTTGCACAAGTGAGAGTGCAAAATGTCTTTCTGTCGTCCCTTTTTTATTCCATTTGTGCTGCATTTAAAATTTTCATTTCTCTAGAATCCCCCATTGCTTGAGAATAAACCAATTGGTGAGTTAATGAGTGGATGCGTGTTCTCAACTAGCTTGAGGCTTTCCAAAAGCGTGTGCTCATTGGGCGAAGTGGACAATAGCATGACCAGGTCATCTGGGTTATCTCACAATCTCTGTCAGAATTTCCCAATATACTTTTGGATTCTAAAAGTACTGTGAAGCTAAAACATATAATTAAAATTCAATCTGAATCAAGTCATAATCACATATGATCATTAATATCGAATATCTAGGTCAACCTTTTTATAGTTTTCTGGGATACTAATTTGGTTTTTAGTACTATCAGCTATTTATGCTTTTGATATTATTATTATTTTTAAGTTAAACCCATTTAAGGCAAATTTTATTAATAACAAAATTATAAAGAGAGGAGAGAACATAAACCTTTCCCCTTACATAATAAAAGAACTTTAAATACAATCAACGAAGAGTCCAGAGGATATGAGCCAGCTGACAGTCCAGCAGAAAATTAGATAAACAGTATCGTGATAACCCAGCTGAAAGACAATGCTGGAATCGTAGTGGCTGCAGGAGTGCTCATAAAAAATTAATAATATCTAAATCCATAGGATTTCTTTGGCTTTGGCAACTTGAACGTTCTTGATCTTGTCATAATTATAGGTTTGACTTTATCAAGTGCCAAAGCCAAAGCAGACAACTCCTCCTCTTTTCTCTTTTTTTGCATCTCAACCTTATTGCATGTTGACATCAACCTTTTAGAAGCTGTCATAAAAGAATTGAAATCATTTTCTCGAACTACTGGTGCCTCCTCCTCATTAGAGTAAAAACCCCTTGATTGTTCACGAAGAGAGGACCTTTTAACGTAGTCATCCTTTGAATAAACACCTCTTAGCTTCAAGGCCTTTTGAATCTCCTCCCCTGACATGCTTGGAATTATCTCTCCTTGACTGTGAATATTTTTATGGACTGCTGCCATCATTTCTGGAGTAATGGACTTTGATTTCTCCCCGGCCTCCACTGTTAAGGATTCAAAATCTTGCTTATAGTGGCCATAATCCAACAAGGATGAGGACTCATCTATCCCATCGCCCGAGACATCTTCAGAAGAAATAGAAAATCCATTCTCATCCTCCTCATCATTTAAATTATTCAGCTGACAATTGGGCATCTCGTTTGAAGGAGAAATATGCAACATATGATTTACTACTGATGGTTCTTGAACTCCTGAAGAAATACGTAGTCCTTGTCCTTCATCCAACTCCCTTAACTGTTGATTAGTGAGATTGATTGCCTTTGCCCGACTCTCCAGGTTCTCATGAACTTCGCATTGCATTTCTTGGGCTTTGGCAATATGTTTTGGGCCTAAATAATTTGAAACCTCGTTGGGCTCTGTATTAGAGCTCACCTCTAGAACCTCATGTGGACTGGTACCCAATATCTTCTCAATATCTTTCTGCTGTATACTTTCCTTTGGCAGGAAATCTTCTCCATTATGGTCTACGTTATCTTTGCCTGAATGCTCTCCCTTGTCTGGCATATCTTCTTTTCTGACTTCCAAAGATCTTCCCTCATTAATTTCGGTGTTACAGCTACCATTTTTGGTAGTAGAATCTTTCAATTCTCCTCCCTTATTCGGCTGAATCCATCCCCTTTATTCTTGGCAGTTAAATTAGGTTGCCTCAAATTATCCTTATCCTTTCTAAACCCAGACCCTCTTTCCTTAGTTTGCATTGTGGGGTTTCCAGCCTGCTCACTTTGCTTCCTTTTCCCTTAATCATTAGTTACCTTTTCTGTCTGTGTATCAGTCCTCAAAGGATTTTTTCCTTTATCGTCAACTTCCAAATCGATAGCCTTTCTTCTTCGGCAGTCGTCTTCCCCATGGCCCTGCTTCCTGCAAGACTTGCAGTATTTTTTACTCTTTTCATAGATAATCTTCTGCCATCTTGCCCCTTCATCTCCCATGTCCAACCAAATCCTGGATGGATTATTTGACAGTAGATTAACCTCCACACAAACTCTAGCAACCCCTGGTCTGGCCAAAGATAATGTCGCCTGATCATAGGCCAACATTTTGCCTATAGGCTTCATCAATAATTCCAGAAACTGCTTCTTGAAAAAATTAAGTGGTAAACCTGGTAGAGACACCCACATAGGAACTACGGAAGGTTCAACTCCAGGAACAAAAGCTGTAAACCATTTAAAGAATCTAAATAAATAGTCTTCGGTCTATGTAGCATCTTTTAACCAAACCTTGACATAATCCTCTTGAAGCTGAAATCTTATGAGAACATGCCTCTGGTCAATAATACCAACTTCAAACCCTCCCTTCAAACTCCATTTAGATCGAATAACCTCCTTAATAACTCCTAGAGAGGGCCTACCATAAGCACACTTACCAATGAGATCATATTGCAAGGACAAACTTGAGGTCTGAATCTCTTCCTTGGTAAAGTAAAAATCGGGTTCCCCTTCATAGAAAACTACTGGCTTGTCAATCTTTGGCTCTGTATCCACATGTTCATGAGAAGAAGGTTGCTTGAAAAGTGATGCGTAGGATTGCTGGTTCTTTGAATGCCCATCAGGTAAGCTGGATGATATTGGTTCATGTGGTTTTTGGTGACTAGATGGTAGTATAGGTTGTAATTCTAATAATTTTGGTTGATAATCTTGTGTTTTGGGATTAGGATCTGGAGGTTTTGGTGGGATTTGGTTAAGAGTAGATGAAGAACTCATTAAAGGAAGAAAATCCTAGAGAGAAGCTCATTTAACATTCAGAACACGATTCTCTTTAATTTCCTGTAGCATTCGTGTATAGTAGTCAAACTTCTCTTTTAGTTTGAACTGAGTTGCAAATTACTTGCAAAATCTCTTTGTTCATGTACGAGTCCCTGAAAAGAGTTGTGAAAGTCACACTTGAATACTTGATTATTCCCCTTCAAGGATAATCTTGGATGAGCTTAGAGACTAGCTTCTACAAAACACTGCTGATAGGCAAAATTTCAGCCTTGGAAATCCCCCAGCACCAGGACTGATATAGAAAAAAAAAAAAAAAAACTTAGCTACAAGGGTTTAAAACTTAGGTGTTGATCAAGGGTTTAAAACTTAGCTTCAGGGAGTCAAGTCAATTAACCAAATTAGTTCAACTTTTAATGCTTTAGAATTTAAACGTGATCAAGTTCAACATGACAAAAGAGGTTTAAAAATGGTTTTGTATTGCTTGCCATATATCCTTTAAACCATGTAGAGTTTTGTGGATCTTTACATGACAAAAGAAAGCACTCAAATGTATGCATAGTGTCATCCTAAATTTAAGCAGTTAATCAAAAAGGAAAAAGTTAATTTAATCATTGTTAGCTAAGCTTGCTTGGAGGGATAACTTTTTTGCATTATGTGCACTCAGGGACCATCCTCAAGTCCGACACATGAAACCCAAACCCCAAACCCTGAACTTTATTGGTGTTAGCACAAGTATTTTACCGCTATGCTAGACAATGATCACTGGACAGGTTCACATGCATGGAGAAAAAATTTGATCTCAGTATGTTGTTTAGTTAAACATTGACAGTCCATTGCTACATTTTAGACTACTAGATGTTAAAAATTAAACTTAGATGTCCCATGGTATGATGCATTCCAACATTTTATACGAATCACTGTTCTATTTTTTGACTATCTTGCTGTGTTTGTTCTATGGTTCTCAAGTTTCTTAAACGTGTTTCTTTATAAATTTTACAGGGGTGATTTTGGGAGGTTGGGTCATGGAAACTCTAGTGACTTGTTTACTCCTCAGCCAATCAAAGCACTACAAGGTCTACGGATAAGGCAAATTGCTTGTGGGGACAGCCATTGTTTGGCTGTGACCATGGAAGGCGATGTGCAGAGGTTGGTTGGCTTCCCTGGTGGTGCTTACAGATTTATATATTTCAATACTTATATCCTTTCCTTGCTTTAGTTTTCCCATTTAGGAGTTCGGAATGTTGCCATGTTAGGGGTCCAAACCTGTATAAGTTGCTTTTGTAGCTTGACAATTTTTTTCCATTTTTTATTTGGGGTTGTCTGAAATATTTTTTGGTGGGTGGAGGGGGCCAATTGAAACACTACCTTTACAATGAAACGAATAGAAGTAAAATAACATGGTACGTGCAAATGAATCATCCTGTAGTTGATCTAGCCCTTAAGTATTGAATATCATTAATCTTTAGCTTGTACAATGGAATGGTTTCAGCTCTACATACTAATGCTTGAGATCCCATTTAACAGTCACAAAAACACAGTTTAAGGGGGGGTATCCCCACATCATGGATTCTCCCTGTTGAGCAAGGTTGACATGATGAGAAAACAAACCTTTTGACTCTTGTTTAACGAGTTTCCAAGACTGGGAATGACTTTCCTTGTTAGCTTCCCTCGTGTATAGCTATTTAATGCAAACTTTTCACCAAACCACTAGGCCTTATTTCTGTCAATTAAATTGCCGAAAACAAATCTACGCCGCTGCTTAGGACAATATGTCATAACCTGATAAGTTGATTGGTCATTTTTTAATTTTATTAAAAGATTTTGCTTCAATACTAGAGAACCATTCCAACCAGACACCTTTGGTTTATTGGCTACAACACATATACTGGAGGGTAAACCGAAATGGTTGAATTTGGGGTCCTTAGGTTAGTAAAGCTTGAAGTTTTCCCATCTACGATGACAAGTGGAGTTTTTGATTTTTGGATACCAAACCCAACCCAGGAACCCACCCTGCATTCTCTTTCACTCTATCTTCGGGCATCCTAATTAAGGATGAGACGTAAGGCAACATTAGCCACAACATTGAATGGATGAGTTGATTTGGTAAGGATGTTTCATCAAATGATTTTGGATTCATCACTGTCTAACATACCAAAGAGCTTTTAGAGTTTGGGCCACCATACAACTAGAACTAAGCTGCTTTGACCATTTCTTACCCTTTACTGCTCGTGATTTTCTTACACCTCCCCGTGAAGCCTTGATCTCATACTGATTTGTTTTCTAGGAATTTTTAGTCATTACTCCCAGGGAATTTTTTTTTATTTTTATTTTTAACAGTGAAAATGTAAAATCAAGATTAGGGTTTGGAGAGAGTAGAAGAGAAGAATATAGAAAAAAGAGATTGAGAGAAATAATGTGTACAATTGTGTTGCCCTAAACTTCTTATTTGTAGTAGAGAAATAATTATGTAATTACAATATTACCCTATACTCATTAAATATGACCAATACAAAAAAAAATAGAACTCTAACACTCCCCCTCAAGCTGGAGCATAAAGGTAAAAAATACCTAGTTTGGAACATAAATTACTGAAGACAGACTGAGCTAATGACTTGGTAAGAATGTCACCTAGCTAATCACAAGACTTGATATATATGGAGTGAATCTCCTTACTCATTAGGAGATCTTGAACAAAATGATAGTCCACCCTAATGTTTGATATGCTCATGGAATATTGGATTATTTACAATAAAAATAGCAGCTTGATTGTCAAAATATCTTCATGGGGAAAGGTACATTAATTCCTAGATCACGAAGCTATGAACCACGGAAACTCTCGAGAAGGTGACGTATCGGTGTCGGACACGTGTCGGACACCGACACTCTTTGGACACTCTTCAGACATGTGTCTGACACTCTTTTATCAGTGTCTATAATTAAATGATAAAATTTTAATTTCGGACACGTGTCTGACACTTCTTTGGTGACATGTTTGACACTTTTTTAGAACTTATCTACTACTAAACAATAAACATGTGTTTAAATGTGATTAACAAAGTTTAAAAATTTGAGAACATATAATAACCAACTCTAGACATATTAAAATTATACTTCAAATATAATAATAAAAATAAAAGATGCATAAAAGTTTTAAAAAAGAGTAATTGAGAAAATGAGAGCAATTATTTAAATTATATATTAAGTACACATTATGTATAAAAAAAAATTGATGATTATTGACTAATAAGATGTTTTAGTCTAAAAATTCACATAGATGATTAGACATAAGATTTATGTATCATAAAATACTGAATCTTTTATGAATTGTATATCATTGGGTTAATTACACTAGAGGACCTCAAAGAATGGGGTTTGTCTCATTTTGGTCCCTAATATTTCAATTGCATCATTTTGGTCCTTGAAGTATTGAATATGTTTTTATATGATCCTTCAAGTAGACAACGTCCAGATTGTTAACGATTTTTTCTCATAAACTTGTCATGTAATAGCTAAATATAGATAAAAAATAATATTGATAGCTCTTAAACAAAATTTGGGTAGGTTTTGATAAAAAAAAGTGTAATAGGGGTAGTTTTTGACCAAAATTTGGATAGTTCATGATTAAAACTGTGTAATTTAGGTAGGTATTTAACCAAAATTTGAGTAAAAATTTGATCAAGAGTTATCCAAATTATTTTTTGTCCATATTTAAGTATCATGTGACAAGTTTATGATAAAAAATCGTTAGTAATTTGGACACTGTTTGCTTAAGGAACCATATAGAAACATATTCAATACTTCAGGGACCAAAATGATGTAATTAAAATATTAGGGACCAAAATGAGACAAAATTCATGTTTTAGGGACTTTTAGTGCAATTAACCGTATATCATTATCACTATATTTGTAATAAATTATATAATGTTATATATAAAATATAATTTTTTGTAGCATGTCTTCAACGTGTTCATGTTCTATTTTTTTGATAAATGTCATGTTGGCGTGTGTCTTATCTGTGTCTCGTGTCAGTGTTTGTACTTCTTAGTCATGAAGTAAAGAGCAGACTTAATAACATCTCACATGCAGTATGATCTATAACTCGATATTTAGCCTCAGCATTTGAATGTGCAATCACATTATGCTTTTTACTATGCCAAGTAATAAGATTATCACTAATAAATGTGTAATAGTCAGAAGTAGATAGCCAATCACTATGACTATCAGCATCAATACCAGATATGGGTGATGATGGACGATATAATGACTCTATTTCTTAGAGCTCCTTTAAGATATCTAGGTATGTGACACATAGCCTCCCAGTGAGGTTTAGGAGGAGCATGCTTGAATTGACTAACCATACTAACAACATATATAATGTCAAGACGTGTCACTGAAAGATAAATTAGTTTCCCAACCAACCTCTAATAACACTTAATCATCAAAAACTTTTCTACTGTTTGAATTTAATTTCACTGTAGAGTCCATGGAAGTATCAACTGAATGCGTACCAAAGAGTACCAGTTTTGGATAGTAAGTCCAATACATAGTTATGTTGACATAAACTAATACATTCTTTTGATTAGGCAATCTCAATCCTTAGGAAGCACCGAAGAAGACCCAAATCGTTGGTATGAAACTGCCTCCAGTGAGCAATACCATCTGAGTCATTACCACTAATAATAATATCATCAAAATACACAATACAATGATAAGACTTGCGGAAGCATGATAAATAAACACTGAATGATCTCAAGTAGAGTGTTGAAAACCAAACTGAAGTATCACAGTACTGAACTTGTCAAACTAAACATTTGGTGACTATTTCAAGCCATGCAGTACTTTTTTCAAATGATACACTAATTGTTCCTGACCTGGAACAACATAACCTGGAGGTTGACTCATATACATTGTCTTGTAGATCTCTGTGTAGAAAAGAATTCTTTATATTCAGTTGATACAAAGACTAATCACAGCCAACCGCAACAAAAATAAGAACTCTAACAGAACTAATGCTAGCAACGGGAGAGAGAATGTCACCGGGATGTAATAAGAATTCTAATAGCCCATCTAGGGTGTAAAATATATTTCTTCTCACTGGCATCTTTAGAGTATACTGAATCAGTATAGCTATTCTTCTTGAGAGAGGAGTCTAGAGCAACTACGGGAAACTATTAGACGTTACCCTCATAGCTCTTGCAAGGAGGGTGGTAGGTATGCTGGGAAAAGAGTTACCTCTTAGCAACGATGAAATGGATATCCAAATTTGGGAATTAATGAATGCCGGTATAGGTAGTGGTGAACCACAACAAGTCTTAGGTTGAAACTTGTAGACAAATTACTTAACTGAAATCGGAAGACATTTTGGACGTTGCTATTGAAATAGCCTTTCTGGCTATATAATCTGTTACTTCACCCATTTCATAAAGTATTCGACCTGCTTTAACAACAGTTACCCAATATTCTGGGGATCCTTTCCTGGAATTTAGCAAGACCCCCAGTGTTGATGCCACCGAGGAAAGGGAAAGCTCAGACATCATCTTTGGCAAAGGCTAGTGATTCTTTACTGTGATTTTGTTAAGGGCACGATAATCCTAATCCACGCACATGCACCACGAGCCTTCTTCGGCACCAAGACACGTCCATAGGTCAAATTGGATATGTAATTCTTGGAATAATTGTTGCAGACTCAAATGATGGATATTCAAGCATGATAACTTATATTTTATTCTATATCTCTATGAATCTAGGAACTTTTGCTTGCATTGTATTATTTGGTCTACGTACCAGAACTAATAACATTAGATTATGCAAGATTATACACGAAACGCTTGAAAGAAAAACCTGGGGCGTATTGTAGCTGTGGCTTATAAATAGCAGAGAAAGGTTATTCAGAACCCGTTGGCTCTAGAACAAGGGGCGCCTCTAGAGGTGCTGCCTCACGCACCAGCACCAACAGAAGTTGCACACCCTGCTCCCGATCAAAACGAGCGTGCGACACTTCAATCGCCTTCTTCATCTTGAGGTTTTGAAAGACACAAGAAGATAGAGAAAATTTAATGAGAATGCAAAATGTTATATTTGTCTCTTTTAATATTTAGCCTTTTATATTTATTTGGAGCCTAAATATACTCATTATTCTTATATTTTGATTTAGGACTCAAATGGAGACGTTAAATGCAAAACGAAGCTAATTGGACGATTGTGGACAGTTTCGAC